TCCGAGGTAAAAGATGTTAATCCAGTAGAGTGTGCATTGATGCTGGTATTCCACGCAGGAATATACTATGGGTTTGTCTTCATTGTGGGCATGCTGTGTACCTGCAGCACTTGGAAGTATACTTCCTGCTTTTGGTGCTGATTCTCCACTCCCAGTGCATGGCGTGCCTGTACTGAGGAGAGCCTCCCTCTGTTCAGCAGTTAAAAACAAGTGGCGGAATTTTTTTGTAATTCTAAAACAAAACGTTAGAGACGTCCCCAAAGTTTACAAGAGTGGCCACTGCTGACCGGCTGGCTTTGCACATTGCCATTGTTTAAACAAATTCTCACTCAATGTAAGGCTGCTCTTGTCAATTGGTTTAAACTGTTGGAAGAACAGTTCTCCCACTAAGCAAGAGATAAAGGAATACACAACGGCATGTGGTTCAGTCTACAGTAAGACTGCTTGTCATGCTATATTACCCTCTCAGTGTGGTGCAAGTTCACCAGCTCCTGCTCTCTCAGCAAGATCTGAAGTCGAGTGCTGGAGAGTAACATTCATTGATCTCACATATCAGTCCAACAGATATTACAACACAACAGCAACAACAACTTGGATTTATATAGAACCTTCCACGTCGGATGGCATCTCAGAGTGCTTCACAGTAATGATCCCGGGGCCGAGCCAGGGGGAGGGGGAGGAAGGTGACCAAAGGCGTGGTCGAAGAGAAAGATCTTCAGCAGAGACCTGAAAATAGGAAGAGAGGGAGCAAGACGAAGGGAGTGAGGAAGGCAGTTCCAGAGCCTCGGGGCATAGTGGCTGAAGGCACGGCCACCGAAAGTGGAGCGGAGGATTCGGGGGACAAGGAGGAGGAACGAAGGCAAAGGGGACTGTTTTGAGGAGAGAGGAGGTCAGAGAGGTAGGGGGGGTGCGGAGGAGTGGAGGGATTTGAAGACAAGGGTGAGGATCTTGAAATTGATCCTCTCTGGGACAGGCAGCCAGTGCAGTCTGGCAAGGACTGGGGTGATCGGGGAGCGGAGTTTGATGCGGATGAAAATGTGGGCGGCAGAGTTTTGAATAATCTGGATTTTATGGATGGTAGTGGAAGGGAGAGCGGCGAGGAGGGCGTTGGAGTAGTCCAGCTGAGAGGTGACAAAGGCATGGACCAGGGTTTCAGCGGCTTTCAGAGAGAGGTATTGGCGGAGACGGACGATGAGTCGGAGGTTGAAGAAAGCGGTGCTGGTGAGGGACTGGATATGGGGGAGGAAGGATAATTGGGGGTCGAACATGATGCCTAGGATGCGTACGGGTTTGGAGAGTTTTAGGGGAGGTCGGGAAGGTGGAGGAGGTGAGAACCGTGAGATTTTAGAAGTTGATGAGAGCCAAAGAGTATGGCTTCCGTCTTGTCAACATTCAGTTGAAGAAAATTTGCTTTCATCCAGCCCCTGAGGTCTGACAGGCAGGCTGACAGAACATCAGGGGATTGGGGGTCGCAATGTGAGGTGGAAAAATAGAGTTAGGAGTCGCCCAGATACATGTGGAAATGTACCCCATGTCTGCGGATGGCATCCCCAAGAAGGAGCATGTGAATCAGAAAGAGAAGGGGGCCAAGGATGGATCCTTGGGGTACCCCGCAGGTTACCGGGTGAGAGCGGGAGGAGAAGCCAGAAAGGGCATGGTGGTGGGTGACAAGAGGCAGGTGGATGAGGCTGCCTGGCAGATGTTGTGTATTTTAGAAGAGAAGTCCATGACCTCCTCACGCTTGGCATTTGATATGAAGATTGAGGAGGCCTGAGGAGGGGCACGGAGGAGGTCGTGGGTGATGGAAAAAAGGATTTTAAGATTGTGTTTAGCCTCCAAGATGATGTTGGAGTAGAAGGCCATTTTTGCACGTGTCAAAGAACGGCGGTAGCTGTGGAGATACTCGAGACACAGTTGGCGGTGAATTGTCAGGCCAGTTTTCCGTCATCTGCGCTCGAGCAGCCAGGTTTGGGTTTTTAGGCAGCGGAGATGGTTGTTGTACCAGGGGGTCCGGGAGGGTTTGCAGATGGTCCTGGATTTCAGGGATTGAGGGAGTTGAAGGTGGAGGAGAGGCGATCATGAAGCAGCTGGACGGCTGCTTTAGGATCTCCGCGGGTGGAAGGCCAGAGGGATAGGATGTTTGATGATGAGAGGGCCTTTGTGAGGGTCTCAGGGGGTAGCCTTTTCCAAGGGCGGTAGAGGATGGTTGAGGGCTTGGTGGAGGAGAGATGGTTGTGAGAGCAGAAGGAGATGAGGAAGTGGTCTGAGATGGCCTTGTCCACTATGCTGAGGTCGGAAATGTCAAGGCCGTGGGTGATAACGAGGTCAAGGGCATGACAACGGTTGTGGGTGGTGAATTTATGTGAAGGGTGAGGTTTAGGGAGGAGAGGCCAGTGAAGTCGGCAGAAGCAGTGCAAGGGGAGTTTAGGTTGAGGTTGAAATCGCCCATTATGAGCAGGCATTCGGAGTAGAGGGACAGGGAAAAGAGGAGAGTAGAAATGTCTGTGTGGAAGGAGCCGGGGGGCTTAGGGGGGCGATAGACAAGGAGGATTTTCAATGGGAGAGAGGGGTGGAAGAGGGTAAGGTGCTCGAAGGAGGAGAAGGTGCCAGAGGAGTAGGGGATAAGACCAAGGGAGGCTTTGGAAATGAAGGCCACCCCGCTGCCACGTTGGTTTGAACTGGGGATGTGGTGGAAGGTGTAGCCTGGAGGGGAGGCTTCAACTAGGGGGACGGGTCAATGGGGGAGAGCCAGGTTTCGGTGAAACCAAGAATGTCAAGGTGCTCATCCAGGATGAGGTCGTGGATGGTGAGGGGGGGCTTAGTGGGGCGGTAGACAAGGAGGATTTTCAATGAGGATTTTCAATTACCTCAGAAGCAGCTTTACATTAGCTTCATGACAGACCTAGTCAATCAATGTTTGTTGTTTCAAATAATAATAATCCTTCCATTCGTTACAGCGCCTTATCATGTTTTCTAGATGTCTCAAAGCACTTCACAGAATATACTGTAAAGTGAATTGACTGTAAATTTTGTGGGCGAAACATGACAGCCAATTGCGCACAGCAGTGTCCCACAAACAGTGGTGAATTGAGTGACCAATTTATTTTTTTATATTGAAGGAATTTTTACCCCTGGAAAAGCGATCCACCAATCGACTTGCAACCGGGTTCCTACTTACTGCTAGGTAATCAGAGACGTGTGGAGTAAGGAAACTTGCCCGACGTTTCACCCTGCTGGGAATCAAACCCAGGTTTCTCCCTTGTGAGGCAAGATCCCTAACCAATACACTACAGGACTTCAGGATAAGTGCATCCAAACTAGATGGAGAGCATGGGTGGATAGTTCTTTGTGCGGAATGATAATACTAATAATCTTTGCATTTGATATAGCGCTTTTCACGTCATCTAGACGTCTCAAAGCACTTCACAGAATATGCTGTAAAGTGAATTAAGTATATTTGTGGGCGAAATGCAGCTGCCAATTGCGCACAACGGTGTCCCACAAACAGTCGTGGATTGAAGTGATCAAATTATTATTGTTCTTTTTCTTGAGGGATTAACATCAGGCGTGTGGAGTAAGGAAACTTGCCCAAGGTTTTGCCCTGCCGGGAGTCAAACCCAGGTCTCTTGCTTGCGAGACGAGTGTTCTAACCACTGAGCTACAGGACTCCACATATGATGTGCGTACTCTCTCCCTGGAGAGAATAGCCCTGCTTACTCAATTCTGGAAAGTATTAGGTGGAGAGTGTTTAGCCCCTGCTGTAGTTTAGGCAGCAAAATCTAGCTAGGACCATTTACCTGTTAAGCTTTGCCTAATACAATACAAATTCATATTTATATAGCCCCTTTCGTGTCGGGAGGACTCCCCAAGGCTCTTTCTCTCTCTCTCCCTCCACCTTGGAGGATATTTACTTGTTAGTCATTGAGTAATGGTTCCACCAATCGGATATTCGGACCTTTGGTAGCAGCTGTTTACTTTTCTGCATAACAATCAAGTGAGAAACCAAACCCTAGAGATATATATTATATATATATGTGTGTGTGTGTGTTCATGAAGCCCCACTATAGGTATCACCTTCCAGCAGCTGTTTTCTCAAGTCTCAGATTTTCCTCATCAGATGCAAAGTTGCAAGTTCTTTCTCTAGTTCTTTCTTGATGCAAAATGCAGTGACTTTGACAATGACAATGACCAGGCTTATGATGAGAATGCGTGCTGGAAATGCTTAGACACTGGAGCTGGATCATAAAATTAGTTCTGGGTTTACACTCAGGAAATCTTTTGTCCCTACTAGGAGGAGTGAAAACACAAAAATAATAAGACATCCCCACTCCCAGCTCAGGCTCCCAGTCACTTCACTTATGTGAAATGCTTTGAGAAACCCTCCAGACATGAAGGGCCATTAATAAATTAGTAAATTGATATTGTTCTAAAAGTTAAATTTTACTCCACAAACTGATCAGAAGCAGTTTTCAAACAGAATAACATTTTGTAATAAATAATAATCAACTTGCATGTGAAATAATGTTTTTCACATCAGGAGGAAGTCTTATGGACCTTTATCTGATATACCGTAAAGTGTAGTGATTGTATTTTGTGGGTGAACGTATGTACACACATGGGAACAGCAAATAATAATACTTGCATTTGATAAAGCGCTTCATCACATCTTTGAGACTTCTCAAAGCGCTTCACAGAATAGATTGTAAATTTAATTGACTGTACATTCTGTGGGTGAAACAGCAGCCAATTGTGCACAGCAGTGCCCCACAACCAGTCGTGGATTAAATAATAAAAAAAATTTCAAGGGATTATTACCCCCGAACAACCAATCCACCAATCGACTAACAACTGGGTACCTACTTACTGCTAGGTGAACGTGTGGAGTAAGGAAACTTGCTTAAGGTTTTGAATATAGAAAAAACTATACTGATGAAGACCCGGTTATTAGCAATATTCTTTTAAACAAGTGGTATCTGTTCAGGTTCCAGTCACAATCACTTCGCCCTCTCTGGGAATCGAACCCAGGTCCTCTAGCTTACGAGGCGAGTGCTCTAACCACTAAGCTACAGAACTCCACGGACAGTGAAGAATGTATAAGCAAGGTGCTGCCACATATATTATATCGTATGCCTCTCTCCTATTGGACTTTTTAGTAGATGTCACTATGACCAACATATAAATAGTACATAAGTGGCATTCTTGCAAACAAAATAAATATTTTATTTCGATAACGGTCATTTTTAAAAACAATACTTTTGGAGCCTGGAGTCGTGCAGTTCTAAACATCCAAATATCTGATGAAATGATCTCAATAATACTGTGTTACATTTCCAAGTGGATCGGTTTGCACAGCCTAACTGTATGGTCGGTGTATAATGCCATCTATTACTGTGCATTAAGGGAAGAAGAACATCTTTTAAGGGCGGACACAAAAAAGGGTAAATGTCAAATCATTTTCCAATGTAACAATGATTATAAATAGAGGAATAAATACTTACATTTATTTACAAACATCATCCACCCTCCCTCTTCCCACCATTATCATGGCTGAATAGCCTTGAATAGCCATGAAAGAGAGGCATGCTGAATCTTTAATGTGCTAATAGGATTAGAACAATGGTGTCGGCTTGAGCGGTTGACTCTGATAATATTGCTGCTTAAAGTGAATCACCCCAGGCAGCGACTTTCAGTTATTTCAGCAATGGAATATTTTATTGTTCACTGCAGGAAATCACAAATATCCAGAAGCATTGTACGGTTATCAAAAAAGGGATGCTAGACAAGATACAGTGTACTGTTTAATCCACCCAGGGTTTTGCACAACAGTGGGTTGATTCCACACTGAATTAAGTATGTGGTCAACGGCTCAGCTACAAAGCGTCAAAACACTTTATTTGTTATTGCACCGTCTGTAGAACAGGAACCAAATAGGTCCACACCCTGGCTTGGCTGATTTAATGAATCTCTGATGAAGTCTTAAGATATTGCAATCTCCAAAATACATGGGGGGTGGGTGGGGGGTAGGGAGAGACAGAATAGGTCCACACCCTGGCTTGGCTGATTTAATGAATCTCTGATGAAGTCTTAAGATATTGCAATCTCCAAAATACATGGGGGGTGGGTGGGGGGTAGGGAGAGACAGAAGAAGAACCAGGCATACTAGTTGAAAGGGACACCTTTGCTCTGTTTAGGGAGTTTCAGCTCTTCATTACAGCTTGCTCACTCATATGCACTTTGGTGGCAGCATTGAGCTGACGTCTAGAAGACATGATATTCTGAACTCTAATGAACCCAGGAAAGTCCCAAATTCTATCCCCATTTGATACAGTGCAAGTTACAATGCAGTGGTTTCAATGCTCCTGGGCGAGGGAAGGGAAAAAAACTTGAAACATGGAAGTCTGATATGCCTAACAGCTAAGTCGAATAATAATAATTGGGAACTAGAGAAGATCAAGGGAGTATGTTAACCTACAAACTGAATGTGGATGCATATGGCGGTATAAGACAAGTAGAGTTTCTATAATTATTGGTGCAATTGGGACTGTTGTAAGACAATTCAGAAATGGCTTGACAATCTAGCTGACCCATCTCTGAAAACCACTTAGAAACTAGACCGAACGAGTGAACTAAACAGCAAAAACATACTAATAATAGTATAAATAATTGTTGCATTCGATGTAGCACCTTATCACGTCATCAAAATGTCTCAAAATGCTTCACAGGATTTGGTGGTGGGTTTCTGCAAGTGTCAGACACTTGGCACATAGTGAGTGTAGAGCTATGCTATTAAAGGCCTGGGAGCAGATGAATGGTCCAGTCTTTTGGACAATGTCTAGAGGAAGGAGCGCTAAAAGAGGCAACATATTTCAATACCCAGCACTGACACCTCTCATATCAAAGAGCATAAGATCCATCCATCAGTTGCTGACAAAGGTTTAACTACAGTACGATGACCAGATTCTTCCCTTTAAACTGTATTTTATTTGTGAAGTGGTTTCACCTCATTGCACGTATGTTTTTTCTCAGTGGACCCTAACAGTTATTGCAACCAGATCCTGTTGCCTTTTAGAGGAGCTGTAAGGATAGTGGGGTTGAGTTTGTGGCAATGTCAAATTACAGGCTGACCCGGTTACAATGTGCCCTGATTTAGCACTGCGACACGGTGACACTGCGCTGTGCTAGAAGCGCTTTCATTGCTGATGTCACCTCCTGCAAGATGAATACATTATAAATGGATTGCGCCGAGGGGAGCGGGCGTGAGGAGGGAACAGGCTAGAGCTGCGAGTTATTATATTGATATCGGTAAGATTGCTGATCACAACTGCTCACAGCCTCAAACTTGCCAACACTTTACTAAACAATCCATAGAGTGACATTCATATTATCAGGCACCTCTAATGATTTGTGGCCAGATTAGCTGTTATTTACGCTGTAATAAATGCAAAAGATATTTAAGTTGCTTGGTTTTATGGAGTAACTGTTTCACCCTAGGTCACTGATGCGTGCTGCCATTCACACAACAGGATTCATCATGGTCACAATACGAGTGGGAATTTCATATATGAAATAATATTGTGAGTTATAATAATAAGAGACTTTTGTGTACTTGGTTTGTGGGGAGTACTGTGGTCATTATAAATCTGTCTGAGTTAAGAGGCGATAACTAGGCTGACATTTTAATGCACTGGTAGGTGTCATCCTTCAGATAATAATAATCCTTGCATTTGATAGACGTCTTATCACGTCTTCGAGACATCTCAAAGCCCTTCACAGAATATACTGTAAAGTGAATTGACTGTATATTTTGTAGGAAAAACCCGGCAGCCAATCGCGCACATCAGTGTCCCACAAACAGTCGTGGATTCAGTGACCAATTTTTTTTAAGGAATTTGTACCCCTGGAAAAGCGATCTGCCAATCGACTGACAACCAGTTTCCTACTTACTGCTTGGTAAACCGAAGCGTGTGGATTAAGGAAACTTGCCCAACGTTTCACCCTGCCGGGAATCGAACGCAGGTCTACTCGCTTGTGAGGCAAGTGCTCTAACCATTACACTACAAGACTCCACTACGCTAATAATCCTTTCTGATTATAGCGCCTTTCACACCGGGACAAAGACTTACAGGAGCTACAGGACTGCACCTGAGACATTAAACCAGGGTCCCATCTGGCTATTCAGGTGGGCACTATTCAAAAGAAAAAGGATTTTCTCCCCTTGTCCCTGCCAACAATCCCCAGATAAAATTGGTAATTCGTTCATTTCACGGCTGTTTGCGGTCTAATGCTGTAAGCAAATTGGCTGCTGCATTTGCCTAGAAAATAGTCACTAAAACATTACAGTATAATCTTGGCGCTGTATCAAATGCAAAAATTATTTAAGCTGCTTGGGTTTAGGGAGTAACTGCTTTGGGTTTTACTCATCAGAAATGTTATTTTTATCTCGTTAGTTCATATCATATTTAAAAGAGCAAAAATTCTAAGATAATATGTATAATTCTCGCAGAAGGTTCACTGACACAGCCTCATAGTCAGCATTTATCAGTTCTGGTCATTTACCTTATGTTCATTTTTTTTAAAATAAAAGTTATCAATTTGGAAAAAATATAAGAACGTTTTCATTGTCACCTGAACAGTATGGGTGGTGGTGAGGAGGGGGATATTTAAATGCAATGCAGGGAACAGCTGCAAGGGGAGGTAACATGTCAGAGAGAAAAGTCTCGCTGTGAGGTAGCAGAGCACAACACAGGGCTATTCAGAGAACACGTGGCACAACATGCCACGTTGCAACAAAGCAACAATGTGTGTCAGCCTGTCTCGGTTGGTAACACACTCGCCACTTACTCAGAAGGTTCAAGTACATTCAGACTTTAAAACTCATGTAGTCCAATGCAGTGCTGGGGACATGCTGCACTGTTGGAAGAGCGATACTTCAGATTAAGCGTTTAAACCGAGTTCCCAGCTGTGTTTGTTCAGGTGGACTTTAAAGTTCCCATAGCAATATTCAACAATTTGAATTTATAAAGCGCCCTCACTCAGGCTAGCGTTCCAGAGCGCTTGACCGTGGCAGAGCACGACACCAAGTTTCTCCCAGTGTCCTGGCCAACAATCCCCCAAATAAAACTGGTCATTCACTTCATGGATGTTCCTGTGCGCAAATTGGCTGCTGCATTCGCCTACAAATTACGAATCACTATACTTTATAGTATTTGTAAATCCCGAGAAGCGCAAATATATAGGACATCTTGCGTTTTTCTTTATGGAACGTCCAATACCGTCAGGAACCGTTCACAATGTTGCTGAATTTTACCTTTCGACAAACATTTTGGTTGATGCGAGTGAAGTGATCAAATGCAGATTTATTTTTTTAAAAAGGTACAGTTAATCAATGTAATTCTCCAAAGTTTATCCGCAGTTTTGGCCTAAGGATCTTTCCCCATTTTTAGATCAATGCTCAGAATGCAACATTTTCCTGTCTGTCCGCAGACAAAAAAAATTGAGTACACAATGAATAAGAGTACGAGAAAGAGAGAAGGTACAGAGAATGAGAAAGAGGAAGAAGGAAATAAAGGGGTACAGGAGGCTCATATGGAAGTGAGGCACATATACACAAACACAGATAGAAAAGCAGGCGCTCACAAATTCATGCACACACACAGCAGAGAGAGCAAGAAATGATGGACAGACAAAGAGCAAAAGAGAAAGACATTCTTACAGGTCTCATACGGCCAGCAACATCAGAAATAGATCTCGTGCTGGTTTCAAGAGGCAGGTAACGCAGGACAACAACAACAACAAGATTCCATTTATAGAGCGCCTTTCACGTCGGGAGGACGTCCCAAGGACGAGAAACGGAGAGAGAGAAGCAAGGCAGTTGCTGAGACGTGAGCCAGGAAAGTGGACGAAGCACTGAGCCCCATGTTGTACAGTGTCTCTTACCACAACATAGCAATTGGCTGACTCCCAAATGCACATTATAAATGAGATGGGATTGCTTAATCTGCTTATGTTTGCGCTCAGGGTCAGGTGCACTCTACCCCCTCCCCCCATCCCTTCCCCTGTGCATAGATTGTATTACAGCTTT